CATGTGTCTAATACGAGTCTTTTCCTTCTTTGATACAATAATTAATTAAATTTCTATTGTTTTTTATTGGTTCTTTTTCATTTGGTGCTCAATTGTCTTATTTTTTGGTGCTCATTTCACCCTTGTTTCAGTGCTCATTTCACATATCGATAAATTTGGTGTTCATTTCACTCCTTTTCTGGTGCTCAAAATACTCCTCGTCCATTTTTTATAATTAATCATCAATTGATATATAAATCAAAAGACGTCTTTATAATTGAAACCATTCAAAAACATATATCTTCACTGATATTCTTTTTGACGAAACTATTGTTTAAATTACATTAAAAAATATATATGAAAAGAAAAATGAATAGGCGCTCCAAGCAGGCCACTTTATCTCACTATAGAATTTATTTCTCATTCCATAAATATTTAACTATGATAGAATAAAAAATTTTGTTGGAAAAAAATTCCACATTTTGTGTTTTATTTTTACATATTGAAGTACATATGTTACTGACTACTATCAAAGAACGTCATCCACTATTTCCTTCGTTTATTTTTTCTGACAAACATGAACCGACCGATAGCTTAGTAGTTAGAAGAATAAGAAATAGATTCATTCTCTTTTTTTCTTTCTGTAGGAATATTTTGCTATCATTCTCTACGCCATTCTTTTCTCTGTGCGGTCAACATATATTCTATTTGAATCATGCCTCTTTTTTAAACTATGACTCGATCTGTTTATTTACCTGTTTGTTTCTCAATTGCTTTTTTTCTTATTACGCTCTATATTAATTCACTTGTTCAAGTATGGACTGATCGAAATTCTCCATATTGGATACCAGCATTACCTGATGTTGGTCATAATTTATTACCTTATTGGACATATTTTCCAATAAATAATTATTATCTTTTAACTGCATTTATCTCAGTTATTATTCGTTATATATTTCAACGTGATGTACGTTTAATTGTATTTCGTCGATGGTTTTTTCTTCAAGCTGTTATGTTTATTATGCGAAGTATATCGATTTATGTTACTTCATTAAGTGTTCCATTACCTGGTTGTAATACAACAGCTGTTGGTTCACCTCCAGTCGAAGCATTTTATATCATGTTTCTAATACATACAACATGTGGTGATGTTCTTTTTTCTGGTCATACAGTTACTTGTAAGAGAATGAAAGTTCTTTTTTTTTTTTGTAAAATTTCTTTTGAAATTATTTATATTTAGTAACATTATGTGCTCTTGCTTGGACAACATATTCAAAAGGTGAAGAACATTATCCAATACGTTGGCTATGGTATCGATTGAAAGGTATAAATCAAGAAATTGTTTCTAGTAGATCTGATTGGCTTTATCCAAAATTAGATTCAACTGGTGATCCATTATCAGTTTATATAACAACATTAATTGTTTGGATGTTTACAATAATTGGTTATTTATTAATTATTGCAACTCGATTTCATTATACAGTTGATGTTTTTCTTGGTTTTCTTCTTGCAAAATTAGTATGGCAATCATATCATTATTATATAAAAACTTTAGCTGAACGAAGAAGTATTATAATAACTAGATTTTTTCTTTGGTTTGAAGATTATGGAAAGCCACCAGCCAATACACCTGTAAGTTTATTAACAGGGCCATCATATGGACTTCAAGAACAACCTGAACATATGGTAGAACCTAGTAATGAAACACGTCCAGGTGATGCAAATAATCCTTAATGAATTTTCTTTTCTTCTCTATATATTGTATAGAATACTGAGTGATCTTTATTTTTTGCTTACTTAAATAAAAAATATTTAAAATTTGCACATTAAAATATTATTTTTTATAATAACGTTCGTAGAAGTCTATCGAAAATTATCAACTGTATAACAATAGAAAAAGCAAATACCGTAGAGTGAGATTTTGTAATAGATCTTTCAGTTATTTAAGGAACATGAGATGCTTACAAAAATTTTATTATTTTTTTTCGCTTACAATAAAGGCGCAATTCAGTTGTGCTGATCCAGACAAGTTTTCAAAAGAGTTATGTGTCCTATCATCGAAAACGAAGATCGCCAAATACATATTATAGAATCTATTAAACTATGATGTATGTGAATTTGCTTTTTGAAAGTTCAGAATTTCCAAAGAACTAGCACCATCTATCGACGATCTCACATGATTGATTGTCGACGGAGGCGAATTCAAATCCACATTATGGTTTTGCAATGTAATATTCATTCATTCATTCATATTCAAACATTGTTCTTATATAGATTCAAATCGTCTGTGTGTTTTTTTTCTTCAGATGAGTACATCCATTGAAAGCAAAAAGCGTAAGCTTACAAAAAAATCTGATGATACTATTCAAAAAAAAAAGAAAGTTCATTTTTCATTTAATAATAATAATGAAAATGAAACTCCTAAAAAGGTATAAATTTTGTTTTTCATATTTAAAAAAATAAAATAAATCTTTTTTTTCTTCGATTATGTCAAGTTGGATTTCGATGCATTATCCTCGTCTCTTAAATCTCGTGCCACGGAAAAATTAGCACAAGTTGCTGCTGCTAAACGTCAAGTACGAGTTAAACCTGATCCAACAATGTTATCAAATGTTAAACAAATTAAAAAACAATTAAAAACAAAACAAAAACAAATGGAAAACAAGAAAAAGAAAAAACATATTAATATTGTTCAGGATAAAGAAAATACAACATTTCGACAACGTTTAAAAGAACGACAAAAATTACGACGTGGTGTTCTTTATGATATGGCTGATAAATCGAAAAAAATTTGGGAAATTTTACGTCGTGATGAAACAACAAATGAAGTACGAGTTAAATTATGTGCAGAATTAATGAAATTAATTGAAGGAAATGTGAAATTTTTATCTATGGCACATGATACAACACGTGTAATCGAATGTCTTGTTCAATTTGGTAATGAACAACAAAAACATTATATTTTCGAACAAATTCAAAGTAAAAAAAAAACAAAACTGAATTAAGATCTTTGTTTTTTATTTTTAATTTTGAATATTCTAGAGGATATAGCAACAATGTCAAAATCACTTTATGCTCATCATGTTATTATGAAATTTTTAACTTATGGGTAAAGATAAAACTATTATAAGTTTCTTCAAATGTGATTCAAATTATACATGATAGAAACAAAAACAATCGATGCTCAAATTCTTTGTAATATGAGCAAGAGCGCTGAAAATAAGATAGTACATGTAATAGAAAGACAATCAAAAGGAACGTTTCCGATTGTTGAATTAGGTCGGGTATGACGAACAGTGGAAAACTTTTTTTTTTTTCGTTTGGTTTTCCGATCTTCACTTAGCGAGTTATGGATGTTTTACGCGAATTTTGCCTTTTGAGAATCAGATCACTTAGAAACTAGATAAATGAATTTTTGTCAAGATATTTACATTTACAGAAACATCTATTCGGAACTGTGTTTCAAAAGAAAGATATTTTCGCGGCAAGTTCGTATTTCGATCAAGAAATATTTCTCAGCTGGAAATTCGTTCATCCAGATTTTCCGCGATCCTATCATCAACGGACAATAGTTGCGTAAAATTGGAAGACTAAACAACAACGATTCGATAGCTGAGAATGTTCTTTCGTAAGGTCATATAAGAAAATACTTATGTAATAAAGTTGTTCGAGTTTTTTCATGTCTCATATTAAGGACAAGATCTCTAAGTCAAAATCTATTTGACATTGAAAAAAGTTTCTTCATAGGATTAAAACTATTTGACTTTATATTTTATAGAACGGACAATCAAAAAGATTTAATAAAAAAAAGTCTTTATGGTCATGTCTGCAAATTAGCCAGACATTCAGTAAGTAATTAAATGAATTATTGCTGTTTTTTTCTTCTTTTGAATTATTTTAATAATATAGATTGGTTGTCGTGTATTGGAATATTGTTATAATGATGTTTGTAATTCAGCAGAACGTTTTCAACTTGTTCAAGAATTTTATGGTCGAGAATATGCCGTTCTTAAAGTTCGATGTTGCTTCTTTTTTTTTTTTCTTTTTAAATTTAATCTTATATATTCTATTTTAGACAACCAATCTATATTATTAAAATAATTCAAAAGAAGAAAAAAACAGCAATAATTCATTTAATTACTTACTGAATGTCTGGCTAATTTGCAGACATGACCATAAAGACTTTTTTTTATTAAATCTTTTTGATTGTCCGTTCTATAAAATATAAAGTCAAATAGTTTTAATCNAAAAAAAACCCCTGTCTCCCCCCTCAGGGATGGTCTGGTCAATAATGACAATTTTTCGATAACTCAGCCATTTCGTGACGGATCCTTCTTATCTTCGAACTCGACCGAGACATTGTTAAGACTGAACTGTGTAGAAAATTCCATCATGATCTGACTCTCCTTTCGAAAGTTATCGTGTAAACGGCCGGACATACTGACCGATTCTAGAGTGTACTCACTTTTTGAGTACACAAAAATAGCTCTGATGATTCTATAGATCGCTAACTGAGGATCTAAAAACGAAGCACCGTTGTACATCAGGACTAGCAAAGTAATATTTAAACCATATCTGCATGAATCTATTACATGACCATGTAGTGATTCATAGTTACAGCTGTAGATTATTCTGCATATGTAATTTATTAATTAAATAAAATTTCAATATTAATCGCTTTCAGTGGGAGCAATTTTTTTGAGGGATCCTACTGTAGTTAAATTATAACAATAAATTATTGTTGTCACTAAAAATTTTACCTGACAATATTTCTGTCTTGTTATTGTTAGTCAAAAGAGATCTTGAACATGTTGACATAGTTGCACATGAACACCAACTATTACTATTATTATATGATATTGGACGTGTTGACATAATATAATTATCATTAAGAGTAGATACAGCAAGATTCCAATTTGTATAGAATATATTATGTAGTTGATTAACATGAAATACTTCTATAATATAGTTATGTATTCGTCGAAAACTAGCTGGTACTTGATCAATAAAATTATCAATAATAGAATCTATTTGAGGTTGAAAAGAACGACGTGTTAATGCGTCAACACTAATAAATTCTCGTGAAGAAAATATTTCAATCTTTTGTTCAATTACATTTTTTGCAAGAAAACACAGTGATGCTAAAAGACGAAATTGTGTACTTAATATTTTCATGTCTGCATTCCAATAATAACTATCATATAATTCAGTGCTCCATAGTAACTCAATAAAATCTGATGAGATAAAATAACTTGAACATACTTGATTATAAGCAATTGGTTTGACAGAAAGAAATATTGAATATTGAATTGCTATTTGTGAACATGGACATGATAATGATGATGAATATTGAGTATATAATTGTTCAAATATTAATTCTGATGGAGACGATACCGTCATGAAATGTATCTGTGAATTTAATCCAGTAAAAGTTATTATAACAACAAGTGCTATGACAAAAAAAAATAATATAAAAGCGAGTAGCTATTTGTTGACGTTGTACAATTAATATTTCATCAGTTGTTTGTGAACATTGTGTTAAATGAGTTTTTCGTGCTTCATGATATACGTTCATTGTTTGAATAGAATGTTGAAGTTCATGAAGAGAAATTGGAGTTTTATGATGATTATCTTAGAATACAAAGAAAAATAAAGGAACACTTTTTGTTCTTCATTAATCATTATACAAGTTAATTAACATGATGAAAACTCTAATATAATAGTTACAACTCTAAAATAGCAGAGCATAGAAAAGAATGCTTCTAGGTTTCCTCTAATTTCAACAAGCTTTATGTAATGAATCAGTTCTTATCTTGAACGTAAGATATCATCTAGAGTGGTTCTGTCGTTATTGAACTTGATTATTAGCAATAAAAAAAAAATTTACAACGAATAAAATATCTCGTTTTTTTCTCTGTTGTTAAAATTCTATAATGTAATATTCATTCTTACCTGTTGTCACGAAGCATTCTCTTGGAGCAGATTTATGATGCCTGCAATAATAATGATACAATCGTCGAAGTATTTTCACAACAGGTAAAATTAATATTCGAAGTGCAATAGAAAGACCACCGCCTATACCAAGTATAGTTGCAATAATATAAGCTCTATTAAAACGTTCTTCATAGGTATAAGTACATTCATCTGGTGCACATTGATTATAATAGAAACTAAAATTAGTAGAACTTGTCCAATCTTCAATAAATAATTGTGAAACAATATTAGTCAATTTCGTATCAGGAAAAAAACGACTATTAACCGTTGAATCAAGTAGAGTAATATTGGCAACACGAGGATCTATTGTAACATTAGATGATCCAAATGAATGCCATTCAATAAGCATTTGAAGACATGATTTATTATAAAAGCATTCAAGTGAAGATGAAAGAAGAGAATCAACAAGTAGACAACTTGCAACCAAACCCGGTATCGTTTTATTTGGTTTAGATGAAGTGAAAAAACAAGGTGTTGTTCTACAATAAAATCCTTCGGAACGGACACAAGAAACACTAGTGCCACATGAACAATTATTGTTCCAATCATTTCTTGCCACAAAACGAAATGAATCATTATTATTAGCCAATGTTTTAAATAGTCTAGCATTACTGATATCAAAAACAATAAATTGATTTAATTGAATTGAAGTTCGAACAAGTTCAAATAAGTCGAGAAAAGAAGCCAGAGTCTTAAGTAATCAAAACATATATGAATAAAAAAAAGACGAAGAAAAACATCAAGACTGAAATCTTTTTTTTCTTTCAATAATTCTTGTTGCATATTAAAAAAGAAAAATTGATGATATAAGTTGGGTTACAGTCGATTCCGACTGGAGCCATTCGTACTTCATTCATTTGAGACCTAGAGAACCTTAGTCAAATCGGATACTCTTTAAGTTAATTAGGCTTTGTTTGATTTTCTCAAAAAAAAAAAAAGATATCAAATACCTGCTGTTGAAATTGTTGAATAAGTGTAGATGCTCGTGTGTGAAATGTATTATTTGTCAATACATGAGCACTGACAAATTGTAAATCATTGAACACAGCAAGTTCATTTGTTACGGTTTCATTTGACATCTTACATAATGCTTGAAGTATAGAGAATATTTTAGAGCCTCGAGCACGAAAATCCATATTGTAGAAAGCACCACTTAATCCACGAAAATAAAGCAACCATGCGTCATTTTTGATTAAATCACTTGAACACACTTGATGATAATAAGGTTTTATATGTATGATCGATGAATAAGGTACAGAAATACGAGTACACAGACAGTGAAGTGTTGATGGATATTTTGTATATAATCGTTCATATTCATTCAATGACAGTTGATACACATTATTATTTCGAATTCGAACAGTAATAGATGAATAGAAAACTGAGATGAGTATTCCAGTAAGAAATAATAAGATATAAATACGTGTTGAATAAATTCCATCATTAATGTCAGATGATAATGGAAACATATTTAATTTTAGTACTTTCTGAAAAACTTTACTTACATAGAAAATAAAACGATGTTTTAAAGCTATAAAACAGGACTTAGCAATAAAGAAAATAGTTGTACACAAACTAAAAACTCACTTTCATTTGTATCTATTTGATTTGTCGTTGGTATTTCATTATCTGTATTGTGAACAGTATTAAACTTAGGAATTTGTCGTATAAGCATGACTATTGAAGGTGTAGAGAAGTACAAAATTGTTTTTAGACCACCAAAAAGACTAATAATAGTAACAATAATATAAAGTAGATTAAATCGCCGATCATATGAATATAAACATGAATGTGGAGAACAAACTTGAAAATAATCAGTAAAGTTAATCTTTTGAATCCATAATTCAATAAATAAGTCATCAAATAGATCAATCACTGTTGTATTTTGTTCGAAACGGGATGATGAAAGTGGTGTAACTAATAATAATTCATTGATAAATAGTTGAACCTGATCAATACATGATTGATTATAGAAACATTCTAATGTTGATTCAAATAATGAATTGTATGGTAGACATCCAACCATAATACCAGGTATTGTTAATAATAATGGTGGATCAATAGTTAAATCTCCAAAAATAGTCGAAGTGTTTACGCCTCCACGTCCTGTCCAATTGTAAATGCCAGCTTGATGTACACAAATATTGCTTGATGAACAAGAACACGCTTTATTCAAAGTTCTATATTTTGATATGATGAATTTTTGAGTTGGAGCTCCAGGTATAACTTGAATAAAATAATTCGTCCGTAATCCTGAATGAATTTGATTTTGAAAAATATTAAACCAAAGAAAATCATTTATATGTTTGATATTAGCAATAGTTGTTGCTTTTAATTGTTCTACAAGTGATGTTACTTGAGCATATAATATACTATGTGATAAAGCTTTATTGGTGATCATGTATCTAGTAGCAAACTCTTCGAATGCATCTGATACCATTTGTGTTATTGTTCGACAAAGTAGAGCAACTACTTGAAAATGAGATACTATCATAATACGATAATCTAACGGATAATATTCACTCATCTTGTAATCAGATAATGATGAAATGAATGTTTGATTAACAAATTGACTTGTACATATTGGATGATAGTATAGATCCAATAAAATAAATTGATCATGACGAATTGAACTTTTTGTACATGGACATGAAAGTGTTGTTGAATATTGAGTAGAAAGTTGTTCAAAAATAATTTCAGTTGGTGACTCAATAGTTACAGTATTTGTTTGAACATTGAAAGTAGTGAAAATAATAACTGTACTGAGAGTGATGACCAATAAAAAAAGAAAAATTCTTGTAGCGAGTAATTGATCAATAAGAGATGATGCCTCGTTATCATTATAAAGATTTATATTGATTAAAAAATAATACAATCGTTTGTATTTACTTGCTCGATCAAGGGATATTGTTTCTACCATTTTAGAATCTGCGGAATAGTATATGCAATTTTGACTTACGATATATAGATATTGAATATATGAGAATAAAAAAGTTTGACTGTTGTAGAATATGCTTCTGCACTATGTTGCTTCTTGATAATGTTTATTATGGCAAAGTTATATTCAATTTGTTAAAAGGTTATGTAATAAAAAAATTTCTTGCTTTTTTGTTAATTATCGTTTTATATGTTGAGACATACATGAAAACTTAAAAGTGGTGTGTGCTTTTTTGACGAGAATTTATTAGAGAATCGTGTTTACTTGTAAAATATTTTTCAAGTCGTTGTATATTATGCCAGCACAATAGTACTCGGAAAAAAAACACCATTTAGTTTAACATTTTATACAAGAATTTAATTTTCTTTCCTACCTATGATTACTTAGTTTACATTAAAATTAAACTTACTCTTCAATAACTGCACTATATTAACTAAGAAAGCTTGTTAAATTTTCTAATAGTTATTAGTATTCATATATACACACATGTTCCATTGTTATCAAATAATTATGAAATCCTTCAGTTTAGATTTGAGAATTGAGATTTTTCTATGCTACGTGACATCTTTTGTGAACTCAATATTTTAAGTCAAAACTCATCATAATTAGATTAAGCAGCAGATAAACTTTAATGTAATCAATTGTTTATTTAGATTTGCTCTATAATATTTTACTACACAGTGTAAAACTCATTATAATATTTCTAACTTTTCAACAATATGCAATAAAGAATGTGAGTTTGTACTGACGGATCTTTTCTATTGGTTGTTTTTCTTTTGCATCTTTGAAAAGTAACGTAAGTTTAATATTGTACATAATTGAATAATTGATATTCTGCCTTTTCGGATTCTCAAAAAGTCCTGTGTATGAAAAGACCTACTCTTTTAAATCTTCGAACATGATGCTTAAACTTGTCTCTTTTGTGTCTCAGTATAGATTTTGCATAAATTTGCTTTAAATAACTGTTTCTTTTCTGGGCAAACCTGTTCATTCATTTTAATGATGTTGATTTTCACATCTTTAAGTCACATCACAAAAGGAAAAAAAAATAGAATAAGCACATTTCTACATCACATAGACACAGAAACGGATGAATCGTAGAACTTGGAAGTATTGCTTAGTATGGGCCTCTATCGTATGTTTTCATTTATGCGAGAAAAGCTGTTAGAGCAATCCATGCAGGCTTTAAATGTGAAACATCATGTACTTGCTGCAGTTAATTACAAGGAGATGGTTTAATTCTATCTGTTTTGAGACATATTTCATCAACATCTTTCTCAAGAAATGCAAAAAGAAAGTAGTTCATATATTCTAATGAGACGTTATTGATATACAATCTGTGATCGTATACTAACAACAAGTGTTATAATCTGTAATGAGTCGCCTCAAACGTATCTGCGACGCTCTGTCATGTCTTGTAAGGGTAGAGATCACGAGTGGGTGCAAATTTCTACCGAATATAGATTGTTTGTCAAAAACAAAACGGTAGTGTTACAGCAGTACTTATAAACGTCATGTCGTTTAAAGTGGTTTTGTCATGGCAACTATTTCATCTATGGTAGAATATAACGGCGTGTACGAAGAACAGAAAAGAAACATTACTGATACATTGTTTCTTTTGCTTTCTTTTTTCAGTGTAATAAATAGACGTAAGAAACCAAAACACACTGTGGTCCATAAATAACTACGCAATAAGAAATTTAAATATCTTGATTAGACGTCGATCGAATGAGCTGAAATTTCTGTCAACTATAGAAGCTTATTTAAAGTCTCTTTTTTTCCTAAGAAAGACATTGACAAATAGTGTTCCAAGCAAGTAACATATACTTCAACAAGGATTTATTGCCAATTACTGGCTAAAAACTGTTACAGATTGCTGCCAAGTATTATAATATACTTTTTTCTTCTATTTATGACCGATTACAAGCAACTGGTACAAACCTATTGTGATTAAAGTGTATACATTCATTGAGTTTCAGATTTAGAATAAAATATGCGTATGGATCTAGATTTTTTTCATGCATACACACATCTGTTAGAGAGGAGAATTGACCATGGTGTCACATTTTTTCCAGTTCGTAATGAGTGATAGATCGCTGTTACCATAGATATTACTGGCTTGGAACACTAAAAAAAACTTTGAACAAGTCTATTATGATATAGGCGTGGACGTCTGTTAGGATTCTCTCTGAGTTGTATACCATACCCACATTAATACTCGCTGTTGACTTTCATTTTCACGCTGCTATTTCAATTCGTGTGCTTGTTTCTATTTCACAAACTGATATTTATTTGTTTGCGTGTTGCAGAAAAGATACTTTCATTTATTGCTTTCAACACACACCAAGAGCTAACATCGTCAATATTTCGTGCAAAAAATTGATCAGCTTCAAATTACTATTGACACGGTGAGTTTCGACTTCGTTCACTCTATATTGTAATATTGATATTTCGTTTAGTAGCATTTCAATGCAAATTGACAGTTAACTTCGGCAAGACAAATAATTCGAAAGAGATTGATCAGTAAGGCCTGAGACAGACTATAAAAATAAAACAGTTTTAATTTCGCTTTAAAAATAGACCCGTACACACTAAGAGAGTAAATAAGCCAATGAGAGAATGAAATACGCCTCCATAATGTGTAAAAATATAGTCATACATAATTTTCGATCGATCAGAGGTGTCGCTACTCTTTGTGTATGATTTCTATTAAAACT